TAAAGCGGTATAGTTGCATTCGTAAATAAGAAAACTCGCTCCTATCGTCGCTTGTTTTTTTTTAACATCTCACAAGTGCAATTATATTTTTTCTTTCTCCACTAGTTTTGTCAGTTAATATATTAATCCTTATGATGTTCAAAGTACAAAGCGAATCAACTTTATTACTTCTTAATCTTCTAGTTGCCTGATTGGAGCAGTCTTGATTTAAGACACGATTATTTTGATGGAGATGCTTCGTGCAAGAGTACCATATTTACAATGCTTGAAAACAACATTTCAGTGATATTTATTTCTACGATTCTTGCGTCATGCGTATGCTTTGGAAATGCATAAAAATACCCAATATCCTGCACCCATATGTTGTCGCTGCCATCGGCGACCATGAGCGAGGGCGTCGTACATTGGCGCGGCTGGATGGTTTCCAAGTCGTTAAAACTCTTATAAATCAATCAACCAACGTCGTGGCCGGACAATCCATGAGCGTCCCGCTCTCTCACGTAAAGAATGTTTTTGCATTGGATTCTGAACATCTTGGTGGTTCTCCTTGAAATTCTCTATTCGCTTGTGTTAATTTTTGCAACGTCGGCATTTCCGTTGGAAAATTGAAGTCTTATCCCTTACCTCCCACGTTAACAAATGTCGGTCTTATCGGTGAACGAAATCGAAGAACCACAGACAGGAACCCACGGGAACGAAGTCATTCTGATCTACAATTCAAATGTCCATGGCTGAACTCTTGACAATAACATCTTTTAATTTTGAGCGGTTGTGCAAAGTTTGTTGCAAGGAGAAGAAAACTGGATTAAATTTTCTCCAATAACACTATTATACACAAACGAAGATATACAAATAACAGTGCAATAAAAATTATTTCGGATGTTTTGATGATGAACATGAATTTAGTTGATGATATTTTAGAAGCAACAGATCCATATTGAAATCAATTATCTTTAATGAATTATTTGAATCCCTTTTTCTTGCCCTAATAAACTCTTTGACAACAAAGTATTTTTCCATGAAATGCTTTGGGCTGACTCAATTATGTTTTACGTTAACCAAACGGCTTACGGTGACCAGCGACCCAGCCTCGTCACCGACTAGGACACGTGTAGCGAATCGTTATTTGATCCCCAAATGCATTAGGTTATAACACGATATAATTCCGTTCGTATATTCACTTTGTTTTCGTCCATGTCCTCACGGCAGCAAGTCGATTCCTTCATGCATATATATATATATATATATATATATATATATATATATATATATATATATATATATATATATACATATACATATTGAACATTCTTGAATTACGGTTTGTATAAATCAAATCTAATCCGCTGAATGTTGCACGAAATTCAAAGAAGGAAATATATTCGCAGTTCCTAGCTCATCAAAGAAACGAGAAACCATTTTAAATTGTTTTCAAATTTGCTTTAAGAGAAATGTTTCTGGGTTTTTATTTTTACCAGTATGAAGAGAGCCGGCGGTGCCATCGTAAATCTTTCTCCTTCAAACAATTATTTATTCATTATTCCTGCATCTCCTGCCCTTCCCGGAAAGTCCACTTTAACTTAGTCAAAACTACTCTCATTGAAACTCATAACAAAAATATCCGGTGTAATTTTAATGAAACAGAATTTTGATGAAATGAAGTGTTTAATAAAACTGTAAAAAATATTAACCGTCCAATGGACACAGTTTTCATTTCTACTAGAACGTGTAGTTTTGATGAAAGGAAGTACAAGAAAAATTTGAAACATTCTTGGACTGTACCCGCACAAAAAAGGACTTTTCTCCAATGTTTTCGAAATGTTATCACAGCGAAAGGATTCTTTCAAACTCAGAACTGGAGATGGAGCTTAAAAACATGAATACCGGGAGAAAATATTTCCATGTAACTAAATTTACACGGAAGAGAAAATATATTAATAATTACATCCACCTACACGCTCGAATCTATTTTATTTTCCTTGCATAAACCAATGTAAAACTACATATTTTGATTTCCTACGTTAAATCAAGCACACATTTCTATATCATGGGGAAAATTTTAAAACTTAGGGAAACGTTGAGACACTTTATTGAATAATTTTCTTATTTTTTCAGCTCTAAAATGTAAATATAGTAAACAGTGATTAAAATTTGGGTCGATGAATCGTCGCCTACTCATCAGGCAACGATGACAATCAACCAATTAGTTCAGGATGTGATCACAGCGGCCGCATTGCCAGCCGGATGAGCTGGCAGGCCCCTTCGGGACATGCCGAAGTATGAGTCACCCGCGTGTACCTCCAGTACGGTCTTGGGATTCTTTTTACGAAAACGACTCCGTTGTCTGTGTTCTCCATTGGAATACTTCAGGAAACGTATTAGGCGATGGGGAATGAAAATTGTTTAAAGTAATCATATAATATAGAAATTGCACGGTAAAATCACTTTAGCTGAAATTAATTTTACTGATGTAACGTAAACAGAAGTGATCCGTAACTGATATTTAAATGAAATGTTACCACTTTAGAAAGATATTATTGAGAATACTCAGATTTTTTATTCCAAGAATAGAATTTCCAAGAAGACTAAAATGCTTAAGTAATACCAATGACTCATTACTTATTATTTCATGCGACGACGCCCCCCCCCCCACATTGCTAGCCTACCGATGTCAAACGGGAATGGAATCCATAGCCTTCCGCTCCGCGGCGCAGTCGCTGCTCCAACCCTGCGCCCCCAGGCCGACTGCCACACTTAAAGGTCCCACCGGTTTTTTCACAAAATATCCCTTCTCTGAACACAGTGCTACTTGGTACTTCACGATGATCCCATAAAGGGAGGAACTGTAAATTTAGATGGGATGCATTTAACTAAAACACTTAAAGAGTTATAAAGTTTACGCGTAATGTATTTCAGAGTTAAAAAAGCGTCATTTGTAATAAATACTCGATAAATAGAATATTAATCTGCAAATTGTAAAATGAATGAAGTTTCTGAATATTCCTTAAGTATCAATGTGGAGGCAAAAGGGCCTATGCATGGAAGAAGTATATAATTTTCTTTTATCCGCTTTGATGATCCAAAGTCAGACTTTATACACCTTACTTCAGTTTTGTAGTGTTTACATATAATCAATGGCCTCCTATTAAGTACTTTAACATCAGTGTCATATTGTCATATTATATGTCATATTGTCATATGTTAAAGTACTTAATATTGTCATATTAAGTACTTTAACATTAGTACTTTAACATCAGTACTTTAACATCATATCAGAATTAATATACAGATTTAAACAAAAATATTGTTCGCTGAAATTTTTACAAAGTGGATAAAACACTACATGGTTTTCGTGCCGCAAAATCTTCTTAAATACGAACTGATCATCCGCCTAGCGGTATCGTTTGATAATTCTCCAACTCTTATTGTAATGAGATAACTTACGATACACATTTCAATAATAACTTTTTTTAAAAGGGTACGTACGAAATGGACAGAAATATAACGATCTGAGAAGTATCCCACCGGAAGGTAATTTTTCTGTATCGTCGGAAGCGGTGTATAAGTCAGTTGTTTCAAAAATCATCTCCCATAACAATAAATAAGCACTATAGCAACGTAATATTAACCATTAGGGGGAGGTTTTTAACATTTTGTATAAAATATTCAATTTAAATAGATGATACACAATACGTTTCTGTCTTCTAATTGAACATTCACATGTGATCACAGGCGCCGCCCCTGCCTGATAGAAGAAATGGGCTTAACAGATTTTCTTCAATGTCAGTTATCGGATAACAGTAGGCTCATATTAACAGTAAAAATAACAATAACATATTCATGATCAGTTACCGAACATGAAGGACTGCTATTGGCTGGCTATGTGTTAAACAATTGTGGCAACACTAGATGAAACGAATAACGTTGGTAACTCCTTTCGTTTGTGCAGCTATCTTACGGCGTTTTCTTGCACTACTTCTCTAGACGTATTACGACAGAGAATCAGCTGATATGAACGAGATCAAAAATCGATATGATTTGCCAAGAAAGAATAGTAAGTGATATGAATAATATAGGGAGCAAATATGTGTAGAAAAATACTTAAATGTCAGTGATATCTGATTCGGGTTCAGATTAGAAATATCCTTCGAGTAGGCTACTTGTGTACAGGGAAGTGAAGAGAGCCAAAAAAATATGACAAGGAGAAACTAGTTTTTGCTTGCCTAAGCTAAAGTGGTAATAACATCTTAACATAATGTGAGTTATTTGACCGTAACAACCCATTTTATTTTACCTGACTTCGGGAAATATTAGTGGATCTCACTTGAGCAGCAATGTGGCAGAAGCAATAACAAATATATTGGACAGATTTAATTTAAACAACAAACTTTTTAGTGTAGAGTATACTATAATAATAATAATAATAATAATAATAATAATAATAATAATAATATATTTTAAAAATATTATGGTGCATGGTGTATAATAATGATGAATTATTTGTTAAATTTATAATTTGAATTGACCCCCAATGACGCCCAATGACCTTCAATGACCCCCCATCTCGATCAGGTTTTCGTCCAGTTTCCCTGATCCTCGAACAAATGCTGAGATGGTCCCTTGTTTTGTTTCTGAACATAAATGTAACTTCAAATTAACTTCTCCCCATAGCACGTCACACAGTTTTTAACTGTTTTTTTACGTAAAAATATAAATAAATAAATACATAAATAAATAAATAAATACATAAATAAATACATAAATAAATAAATACATAAATAAATAAATACATAAATAAATAAATAAATAAATACATAAATAAATACATAAATAAATAAATAAATAAATAAATATTTGTAAAAATAGCACTTACTAACCATACCTTGTGAAACTGATGTACAAATTGCGAAATCTTATACCTAGTTCAGTTTTTGTCCAATTCGTTGCAGTACTATCCATTTGAACCGATAACAGCCAATAACAGGGTAAAGGCGTAACTGTCAAGGAGCCCGGCTGAGCTGGCCGGGGCGCATCCCCTACCTGGAAGCTCCCGAAGCAGGAGCCGCCGGGCAGAGTGACGTAGCACACGTAGGGAGGGCTGGACGCCGGCACCGACTCGTAGATGACGAGCGCCCCGTTGCGCAGGTCGGCGCCTCGGGCCTGCTTCATCTGCCAGAACTCCTGCAGCGCCTCCACCACGTTCACTGCAACACACGCAACGCTCCGTCACGCTCGCCATCTCCGCCAGGGGCGCGGGGCACCGACAAAACAAAAATTCGCACGGCACAGTCACATCTCATCCAAAGGAAATTAAGCCAACAGACGATTAGCTATTTTACGACCGATTCGCTGCAACTTCCCTGTAAAAATGCATTCCTCGTTGATAATATACAAACCTATATTTCACCCGATTATAACTTATGCATACACTGTATGGGTTTTCAGCTGCCCCAGCTACATTAAATAAATTACTATTTTTTCAAAACAAAATGTTAAGAATGACAGTAAATTCCACGTGGTCTGGCAGTAACAAGACACTCCACAACGACCTTGCAAATACTTTATCATGAAACAAGCTCATAGTTTATACAATAATTTAAATCGCGTATAACATATGTTCAATCATAGGAACTGATAAACTCCCACTCTCCTGCCTTTCGAACAGACTCCCATTTCACAGTTTTCTTCAATATCTATCTGACATTAGATTAAGACAATAGTTCTTACATTTTTACCGGTTTCACCAATCGTATTATTTTCGAAGCCCTTATCATTGCCCTATAACGATTGTTCTCGCAACAACCTTGGTTGAAGATTTCAGCTCACAAAATTACTATCAGGGAGGTGACAAGTTATCCCCCTCACACTTTTCTGGTACAAAATGACTCAGCCAATCAACCAGAAGAACATCACGACTGAACGTTCTATAGTCTCACATTGTAAAAAAAAGTTTAAAAACCGCCAAAATACCAATTGGTAGCTGGAACATTTTCATGTACAAACAAGATCGGAGATCTATAAATCCGTTTCAAGAATCAGTTCGATACATTAGAAAAAACTGGAAAATATTTTAAATATGCACTATAGCTCTAAATAATATAATTTCTACATAATATACGGATTGGTGTATTGATTCACAACCATTCACAATCATTCACAAAACGTATTATCAAAGTTTGAGAATTTGATGTTAATCAATTTTATCATTAATAAAAAAGTTAAGGAATGAAATGATTTAAAACTCGCCACATATTTATAAAATAATATAAAATTGTTTAAAATTTTCTGTGAGCCCCTAATCAGCGCGATTCCTTATCAAGGGTTTAGTTTGCTAATGCCTGGGATTCAATGGCGCGGACGGGGGGAGACTTCTCCATTATTTTCTAGTAAACCCAGTGTTTAACATTCAAGGTAAACTTATTTTCTCATTTAAGCAACACAAAGTGAACTGATTTACCGATAGACTGTCGCATGGAAAAGACTTGTAGTATTGCGTTTAACCTACGACGACATCACTGCGGTATAATGGTGGGCGCTGGTTCGGCACTACATTTTCATCACTTCTCCCGATACGTTGTTATTTAACATTATTAATACATAGAGTGAACCTTAACCTCGCCAAGAAATTTGAAGAACTTTGCTATGCACTCGCGTTTCCGACGTAAACACAGTGTCACCAATGCTTTTGAATACGATGATCAGTGAGTGTATATAAAGCGTCTAATTTTGTCTGGTTTTCTTTGGACTCTTAAGTCTAATTAGCTAGTGAACTTGGAACGGTTTTATGACACTAAGATAAAAATATTTTTTACGAACATTATTACTCATATGGAGAAATGTTTACCTTTTGTAATTCGAACAGCTTGTATCTGTTGGGATTCTTTGTGAAATATAAAAAAAAATGTTTAATGCATTAACATCTCACATACCATAAGGAAATGACAGTTTAATGTAGTGGATGAACGCAAGCAGTTTATTAAATGTTTTAACTATAATGGTTTATTACAATCGAGCTGAAATGCATCGCTTATAAGTATAATATCTGATTTGTTTAGCGCCATACGTATTTCTAACCACAGTCGGGGGGAGGGGGGGCGTACGCTTTTATGTTCTCGCTTTCCGAGACTCGCGATCACACTGGTTGATTTTTCCTCCGCCTTTCACTCAACGAAGGACGGTATGGTAACCGTCAGGGATAAATGATGATATACTGAAGTATAACATTCATATTGTAGATATGTTATATTTTAACTCATGTATGATGTGTTCTTGTCAATATTCGGAGATAAACTGTTAATGTACTACCACCTCGTCACGGGGTGACTAATGACCTCAACGATTCGGTACTCCTGCCTTCGTGCTCTACGTAGCGCTCCTAAAGCCCCAGCCGGCCAAGCGACCTTCGGGTACTTTTGGGCCTTCCGCTGGCGGGGCGGCAATTTAGTAATTCATCTCTCATTTTGTAAACGTTGTACACTTTTGCTAATATTGGTGGCAATACTGGCAGACGGACTTTTCTTGCCAATATGACTTTAATTTCATTATTATCATTATCATTATTATTATAATTATTAATTAATTAATTAAAAACGTGTTTCAACATGCTCTTCCGACTAAAATTTTAAAACAATTGTAATTTGATGAAACTTTGCATTAAGATTTGCTTAAATTGTTATTATGATTTACTAGTTCATTACTATGTGTTTATGAACTGGAATCGAAACACGAAATGGTATACTTAATATCCGTGCGACTCTTTCAAATGCTTCATGCCAGCGCGTGCTTTTGAATACTTTCGTTCCCACTCTAGGAAAAAAGGAAATGCCGTAGATACATAAATGACTAGTTTCTAGAAAACCAAACGAATTTATTTTCTCATACAATTTCAATAGTTTTCTAGTAATTTTTACATTGTAAAATAATAGGATTAATTTTGAAATAAACGCCCTTGATAGTTATTAGTACTTACAATATAAGTACTTAATGAACTCTTTAGATTGAATGATCCGTTCATCTTTACTGACATACAGTTGCTCACAATATTCGGACAGCTACAAATACTGGAGACGTTTCTTGTTTGATTGTTAATTTTTCGGACGTGCGCGGAAGTTACATATGAGGAAACGCAAATAAACTGTGTCTTTATTAATAGGAAACAGAATAATACAAAGAAAATGTTGCTTATGCACACATACGTTTTAAAAATACGGATTTATGTGTGAATATGCAAGAATGCGAAGTCACATTAATATTCGGACACGTAGTGGAAAATGTCATGTTTCCCCCTCGCCACTCTCCTTAGGTTGCGTTACGTGTCATCGATATAAAAGCTCAGCGTTTTGAAAAGGCGGCACTTGCTCCGGCAACGCCCAGGGTCCAGATGTCTGACGCCAACATCTCTCTGCGAAGCGTTTTGATTCCACCGATAGACCGACCGCCGCGAGGGCGTTGCAAATCCCGCCCACCCCCAAATGTCACGAGCGTTGCACCGCGTCGCACACTGCTCCCAGCGCACCCGGAGCCTTGGCCAACTAGTGGAGCTACAACGGCACTGACGTTCTCGTATTAGTGCGTGTAACGGATACGTATGAAAATTATAATATTGTAAGTTGTATCCTGCTAATTGAAGAGCGGAGAAGAATATAATCATAACTCACGCTTATGCAGTTTAGAGATAATGCTTGTTTAATGATTGCCGAATGTACATGTAAATCAAAGGAGGGCCTAGATATTGCCACGTGTTATCCTGCCATATAACTAGAAAATGGAAACGGATATTAATGAATGGGCACAAGATTACTCCGAGAAAATTATGGTATGGCCAACATGAATAACTCAAATTGTAAAATATGTCTACGAGTACATCTTCCTGGTTTATTTACTTTTTCAGACATCTGGTGAAACATCCATCTGCAAAAGAAGCGCGGTAGATTCAAATTCACAATTGTAAACGTGCAATTAACAAACGGCATCCTATGGCTTAGCACATATTAAGAGATCTGCTGCCTGAAAAATAGAATTCGACAACGTTTACAATAAATAAAAATTACAGAAAATACGACCTTGTAACTTATCACAAATTGAATTTTATTGATTGCATACTATTTTCGCACGTACAAGGTTTTCTGAACGATTGCCCTGCTTGCACCAAAGTTTGTCCGAGCCCCTTCGGAGCACTGCGCGTGCGCCGCCAGCGCCAGCTGGGCCTGTGGCCGCGGGAGCGGGGGAAAGAGCGGAGGGGGGCGGAGGGCGGGGCGCGGCGGCGGAGAGACGCGGTCGGGGGGCAACCCATTCTCGGCGATTACGGGGGAGCTGAGGCGGCGGCGTGAGCGGCGCGATCCCCAATCACCCGGCCTTCTGCGCCCGCGCCCCTCTCGCCCGCTCCCGCCCCGCCTCTCCCGACGCCCCGCCCCGGCCGCGCGAGGTCCCCGCCGCTCCAGGTGCTGGCCCCCTGCGACAGCTCCGTGCCAACACCGTTGCCGCTTCACCCCGTTGGCGACGACTTTATAGGGTTCGAATTCCCGATTGAATTTTGATACGAGCAGTTCAGCGAGGTCGAATTCAGCGGCTGACAGGAGGAGCATTCTAGCAGCCGGCTCTCATCGGTAGTTTTCTCTGCTTTTCCAATCAATACCAGGCGAATGTCGGAGCACTACCTCAACAAACGGGCCACGGACCTTCCCTTTCCTTGTCGTTTCTCCCCTTACACACACACACACACACACACACACACACACACACACACACACACACACACACACTACTCTACCACACATGTCAAGAGTTTAGAGCTTGTCCCGTGTTGAGCGCTACCTCGCTGAGGGAGATATCTTCTCAAGGCGGAGGGGGAAATCCACGAGCCGATGTGTAGGTCGGCGGCGGTTTGCACGATCCAGCGGGGGAGAATGACCGACCCTTACCGGAGTAGAACATTCATTACTTATCGGACAAATGTCATTAGTAGCTGACGCACTCAGGAATAATTGTTACTCTCATTCACTCGAGGTGTTGCATAATGGAGAGCCCCGCCTCCGCAGAACGCTCGCCTGAGCCAAATCGTGAGAAGGGGGCGTAGGCAAAGGGGAATATAGTTAATTACAGCTGCATTGTGAATGCGAAAACAATAAAATGCTACCTTTAGAGCCTATCAACCAATTTGAATTAATTTCTTCTCTCACGTTTTACTCATTCACTGTATCCTTTGGAGATTTCGAAATATTAAATGAAAATGAAGGAAAAGGCTGAACTTAGAGAACGTAGATAGACTTAGAGAGACTGACTGCAAGGGCTAGAAAGTTTTGAGAAAAATATTCTAAATACAATCACGACTTCTTTAATATTCACTTCGAATATACCAGTAAATTGATGAAAAAGTAAGCAGCCTCCGGCCATGTAAGGTGTGTTAATGGTTTCGTTATATACACTAAAAACTAGAAATTACAAAATCACAGAGTTTTGACTTTGACTAAAAAATATATTTTTTAATTATATTAATTCGCAATTTTGTATACCTGATGTTACAACTATATTCTCGTCCTGGGTGCGTCAGTGCTTAACCATACAGCTGACGCTTTACCACGAAGAAAACGCTTCAATTTTCACGTGTGCCCTTTTAGAACAGCCAATTTTGAGGCTCCAGAATCCGATTTTCCATACACTCGGCAGCAACATTTTTCTGCTGCAGACTACTAGTAGACAAATACTAGCGAAACCGGGTTATGTAAGGAGAAAGAAGTAATGAAATACATTAAAAAGACAAGTTGGAGACTTAGCAGAGACGGAGTAAATGAAGGCTGAGAGAGAAAGAACGCAGTGTTTTAGAAAATGAGATTGAAAGAGGGAAATTGAGTAATTGAGGAATAAAGCGAAAGTGATTGTAGAGAATAAAGAAGGAATAGACTGGTTTACGGAATACAGGAGAAAATAAAATACGAAATTGGTTAATGGGACACAAAAAAGAAACCAAGTCACAAATGAACTTCGAAATAGATTGAAAGCAGTAGTAGAGATATAGAAGGTAGCGAATGGTGGAGAGTGAGTGTTAGAACCTCTTAGAGGAAGGCAAAAAGATCGGATACGTTAAAAAAATTCTGCTAAGCCAAGATACGAGTAGTATCTCGTATAAGTGCGTATAAGACACTATATTATTCTAATTCTATTGGAAATGTTTTTCACGTATTAATTTGTGTAATATCGAACACTATGCATAATGTATTCTTATTAAACGTAGAAGAAAGTAATAATACTACACAATGGAGATGCCTAAAACAAACAGCTGCGTGGAATACGCAAAGAATGCAAAGAGAGTGTGGGATCATTATTGCTAATTATTGCAGTTTTGCGGATGTGGCAAATAAAATAGAACCGCTTTAGCCCCACATCCAATAATATATATTCTGTAATGGGGTGGAAGCTCATTATAATGAAACTCAAGGTATAGAGTACTTTCTTTTTATTGAAAGTTTTCTTCGCGAGGAGAGAAAGTAAATCAATGTAAAGGGTTATAAAATATACAAATAAAATCCAAATGGAATTAAAGAGAATATTTTGTAATAAAGAAGTTCGGGGGACTTTCATTGTACCTCGAATATCTCAAATAATATTCCATCCTTTCATATAATACATTATTCGAAAGTTGTTCTAAAACATTCATTGAAGCTGTGAATTGCAACAGGTGCCGCTGTCTCCATCAAAGTCTGCAGCTTGTTTCAATTATAAAAATACTACATCGACCTTAATACACTGAAATCCGATCATTTAAATTCCATAATGTTACTCATTTTATAAATCTGCTTTATATTTTGTCATACACGCACTCTTAGATAATTAAAACTTCGTTGTATCATAATACAGAATAAGAAGGATTTAGTATTGATTTTAGATAACAAATATCGAGATTATCACGTACTATTTGCAGAGAGAGAGAGAGAAAGAGAGAGAGAGAGAGGGGGGGAGTGATGAGGAGGGAGAGAGAGAGAGAGATAGATAAGAAATTTCATTTAATGTCTTACAATGCGTCTAGAAAATTTGTTTCAAGAGGGAATGCCCCACCTGCAAATCTCCGGCGTGAGGTGAGCTACTGACACAACTAGAAGATTCCTAATTGCTTTAATACGGTGCCTCCACATATCATAGTAACAAACTGAGTGCGATCGAAAGATGCGTCTCCCTTCAAACATTTCTGAAAATTAGGTGCTTCTAAATCTTTAATCGTATGATCTTATACCTTATACTTCAAAAGATAATTATTTGTTAGACCAAATTCTAATAAGTTTGATTGCGCTGAAATTTAGAAGTTAGAAACAAATGGGGAAGAGCTTTCTAACTTTTTCCAACGTACTTGAATCTACAAGATAGTTTTCAAAATAGCAACATCGTACTAAAATTTCAATAACAGCTAAAACGTTTCGTATAAACTATATATCGTACTTTTAAAAATATGTCTTTATCTGTATATGTTCTGCAATAACGTGTACTGTGGATAAAAATATGTAAATTTTAACAATTTTCAAATACTTCTCTGAAAATTGTATGATTATATTTAGCATTGTAATGTATATTCCCCCGTAAGTTCTGAAACTGATGCATAATGCATATCTATTTACGCATAAGGCATGCAAAGAAGGGGAGAGAATACTTATGAGGCGCAAGAGAACAAGAGTAAACAATGAATAATTAATAAATGACAGACGTAGTAATCACAGTGTACGAAGGTATGAACGAGAAAGGACGTATGCCTCGCCAAAGTTGAGAAACCGGTTGAAGATTGTAAGTAATCGAAACGAGATAATCCTGTATCGCTCTTAGTAATCTCATTAGCGCCGCTATATAATTATGCAGACCATATCTTTTGTTTTTAAGTAAGATTTGAAGAATCCGTTAATACTGAATTCAAAATAGTAAATAACAATTTAAAAAAGTTTGCTTTCGTCAATTGCAACTCATTTTCTTATCTTGATATTATTAACAAAATTGAGAAACACCTTATGACAATACTTAAATTAGTAGTTTCATTGAAAGCAAAATTCCAGATAAACCGAAATATGAAACACCCTTTGAATACTATTACGATCGGAAGCACATTTAACAAAAAAGTCGCTCATCAGATAACGCTAAATTACAAACTACTTCCACACCGTGTCTGCTCACATAACCTCAAAATGCAAACTCGTATTAACTTCAAAATGCTGAGAAAAATATTGTTAGATAAAGAAAAATAGACAGGCTTCTTTAAAGACCATTTCTATATTACTCAACGATGCCCAGAATTTTATTGTCACATCCGTACAAATGCTAATATCAAATTTGATTTTAATAATACCCTTTACGGCTCACAGCCGACAAAAAAACAAGGATTTTCGCTAGTCAGCGGGAAAATATCTTGGTCCTTCCGCAGCTGGAGATTTCCTACATTCTACACATTGATATAATAGGGAAGTTAGAGGTAAAGTAAAGGGTCTCATCACGCATCACAAGCAATAGGCGGAATGGAAAGCATTAATGAAATATCTCATCATTGCAAAACGTTTAAACAGAAGTCAAGAAAAAGAAAACTAAATTATATTTGTACGGCATATTATCAGAAAAATATTATTTTCATTACGGTTCACAATGGAGTACACCGATTTAAGCGCAGTGACTCTCGGAAGACCAAGACAAAATCATTGACATCTGAAATGAATAATTAATAAAGAATTTCTTATCCAATAATATTTTACAGTTCAAATATCACATTTGGAACTAAGTATCCATATGTAAATGAGTCTAACCGCCCAAACGATACAATGGAACAAAGAAATTTTCATCGCAAAGTCTCCAATGACACTACCTCTTTTCTTAACTTGAGCAATAAGGTAAAAGGGTACCCGACCGATGTTAGGGATCATTCTCAAAGAAACGCAAACGTATCGCTAACGCTTAATGAATTGTTATAAATTTAATAATTCCATTAACAATGATGTAACAACACAGACGTAAACAATAAGCATAAACTAATTTCCCATTTTTATGCAAGGCCTTATTCGAGTTTCCTCTACAGTCTAGATTAGGAACATGAAGATGACCCTCATATTGAATGAAATATTTAAATGAAACTTACAAGAAAATAGTACAGGTATTATACCATCTTTTAACATAATCACCATATACTTCAATAAATTTTTCGCGCTTGGCATTGAGGTAGCGTATCACAACGCGAACTTGTGCCAACCGGGAGTGGGAATAAGATTGACTCTTATTCCTCTTATTCTCTCTTAAACGTTATCGCAACGATCTTAATGTTAAACATCACAACGACCGGTGGGAAGCTAGTGACGTCCATTACCACTCGTTCGCTTCTTCGACCTTTGCTCTATTCAACTGCTGTACCAACTGTGAAAAATATACAGGGTGGCGCACAAAATCTAGAGCAAATCACACATTATGTAAAAACCAAACGTAACGCATTTCGTGCTCTACCTGTTATTTGCCTGGAAGAAATGTGCGTTTTGTAGCCTTTCTTTGCGGATATCCGTCGTTCTCGATACGCGTTATCTGTGAGGTATCGGGAATGAAAAAATGCATTTTGTATAAATGAGATCGTTCGACAAGAAGTTGATTGTGTTGTAGCTATGAGTAAAAGTACACCTTGGCTACACGTCAACCAATTAGTAGTCGAATGAGATCCTACACCATTTCATTTAGTATCATTTGATAGGTTTCTGTCAATAACGTGCCTAAGAAGGATATTTATTACATCCATAGAACTTCGAAGTAATCGAAAAGTCATTTTATCAAC